TGGGGAAATTGAAGACGTGGAGGTTTAAGCCCAAGATTGAGTGTGATTTGAAAGTCCCATTGAACGGCTCTGCGGAGACAACCAAGTGCAAAATCGATTTCTTCTGATCGTGACGGCTGACATCTGATTGTTTTGATTGTGATTTTGCACTCTGCATTTTTTTTTTCTGATGTGCTTTTTTTTCTTTTTTGTTATAATTCTTTTATTTTTTGCGTAGATATTAATACATATATGCATCGATTTTTCAGTAGTTAATATATATATCTTTATATTTGATGTGGAAATTGCGTTATTTATATAATAAAAATGTGATGCATTAAAAAAATAAAATTTAAATTATTAAATAGAGTGAATCTTTTTTTTATTTTATCAAGTTTTACAAGGGTGGGTATCGAACCCACCATGAGGAGGAAGAAAATGCATTGCAAGGCAGCCTTAAGACGAAGGGCCAAGTGCAATAGAGTGAATCTTTTAACAATAAAATTTATATTACATTTAATAATTTTATTTTACCATCATTATAATTTTAATTGCATAACAAGCAACTCTTTATATAAATAAATAAAGATATTTTCTTCCACCAAATATAGATTTGGAGTAATGGTTAGAAATGGAAACTTTTACTATTTCTTGATTCTGCGACCTTTTTCAATCATGATGACTACAATAAGGTGGTAAAATAGTGAAAGTTTTGTCTTCTGCTCTTATGCTTTGTGTCTACCACAGCCTGAACCTACCAGCCCATAGAATGGTTTGATGGGTTTAACTAAATGTTTTACATGGGCTTACTACAGATCAAAAGCTTATGTGCCGTGTCCCACTGTCTGTATTCCCGTGGGCTTCGGCCTCCATTTTTCCTTTTCAAGGATGACAACTCAACTACGTTCTTCTTGTCGGTATAATTCCCAAATAGATGTCATCTCCTACAAATCCTTGTTTAGTTCAGTTGTTAACCTTTTTCTAATTCAAATATAGAAAGAAACTTCCATCCGTGATTTTTTTATTTCTCTAAAACCAAGCATGTTCAAAAATTAATATTTTATTTTTATTTTTCTCAAACTAAATATATTCTAAAATTAAAGATTGGAGTAGCTAAGTGTCATCATTCACTACAACACTTCTTTTAGAAGAATATAAAGGCAAAATCTCTTCTTAACCCCTAGACTTATCCCAACTAATACATGAGCTTTTAAACTGAAAATGGTGAAAATAAGCCCTCAAACTTCTTGAAAGTTATAAATCAGCTCTCAAACCTCTCAAAAGATTCAAATGACCCAATGCATATGACCTCGTGCCATTTGTTTTTTTCCTTTACTTGATTCCACATTTTCACGTGGGATCAAAAAGTCTTTTGATCCACGTGGAAAAGAGGGACCAAACAAAGGAAAAGAACAAATGGTGTATGGTTATATATGTTGGGTGTCAATGTTGAGGGTTAATTTGCATCTTTCAAGGGGAGTGAGGGTTAATTTACATTATTTGTGGGGTTTAGGGGTTTATTTGCACCATTTTTATAACGTTAAGGCTCGAGTGTTAATTTGGGAAAAGTCTAGGGGGCTTAAGAGGGAATTTTGCCAAATATAAATGGTATCTTCAAAATCGTAAGACCAACGCAAGATATTTCCGAAGACCATCCTTATTCATAGTGTAGTGCCATTGGCATCAATACGAAAGAGAGTTAGAATGCATGGACGGTTGAAATGGAATCTTATATTAGGGAATAAGGTATACCAAGTAAAAGAAGTACCAATTTCAAGACTGTTCAAAAAAAAAAAAGGGAAAAGGGAAAAGAAGTACCTATGTAAAATTCACAAACAAAACAAATTAATCACAGAGTTGCAAAACAAAATAGCCGGGGACAGAAGGTAACGTAATTCTCTAGCGAAATGGCGGATACACTTGTTTCTGCAGTCTTGGAGCAGCTAACAACAATCATCTTGGAGGAAGCAAGGCAAAAGGTGAGGCTAATAAAGGGTGCACAGGAGGAGATTGACAAGGTGAGAAGCAATCTCGAGTCTGTCCGTGCTCTCCTTGATGATGCAGAGGAAAGGGGGAAGAGGGACAAAAGTATCAAACTTTGGTTACATCGACTCAAAGAAGCATCTCTTGACATGGAGGACGTGTTGGATGAGTGGAATACTGCACTTTTGAAGTGGAAAATTAATGAAGCTCAAAATGCTGTGTCTGTCCTCCAGAAAAAGGTGTGTCATTTTATCTCTTGTTTTTGCTTTCGACGAGTTGTTAAGCTCCATGGTGTTTCTGTGCAAATAAAAGAAATCAATAGAAGATTAGATGAGATTGCTAAACAGAAAGATAAGTATAGTTTTGTCTCGAGGGAAATTAGACAGCCTCAAATTCAACCAGAAAGAGAAACCACATCTTTCGTTGATGGTTCTGCCATCCATGGACGAGATGAGGTAAAGAAAAGGATAATTAGCTACTTGCTATGTGGAAGCAGTGAAGAGTCTAGTGACTTCCACCTCCAGACCATCTCAATAGTAGGGATGGGAGGTATTGGCAAGACAGCTCTTGCACAAATCCTCTACAATGACGATGAAATTGAGGCACACTTTGACAAGAGGGTTTGGGTGTGTGTCTCTGATCTCTTTGATGAGGCCAGAGTTGCTAGAGCAATCATCATTGAACTTGAAGGTCAGAATCATACTTCGGTGTTTCTCTTAAACTCACTACCACTTCAGAGCCTCTTAAAAAGAATTTGTGATTCCTTAGGAGGAAATAAATTCTTTCTGGTTTTAGATGATGTGTGGACAGAGGACGGTAATAGTTCGGATTCACTGAAACAGACTTTTAAACATGGAGCTCCTGGAAGTAGGATTTTGGTGACTACTCGCAAGGAGACAGTTGTAAAGATGATGGAATCCTCCTATTTCTTCCCTCTAGAAGAGCTGTCTCAAGAGGTGTGTTGGTCCATACTTAGCCAAATAGCATTCATCAATAGGGACGAGAAACAATGCTCCGATTTAAAAGACATTGGGTGGAAGATTGCCAAGAAATGTAAAGGACTGCCACTTGCTGCAAAGACCTTAGGGAGTTTGTTGCGGTATAAAAGAACAGGAGAAGAGTGGAAAGATGTTCTAGACAATGAAATATGGACATCAGACATGATACAGAAAGATATCTTTGCTCCTCTTTTGTTGAGTTATTATGATTTACCCTGGGTAATAAGACAATGCTTTTTGTATTGTGCTATCTTTCCAAAGGATTTTGAAATATGGAGGTATCTTGTAATCCAACATTGGATGGCCCAATGTTATCTCAATTCTAGTAGCAATGCAGAGATGGAATTAGTAGGCAGAGAGTATTTTGATTATTTGGCAGCTCGCTCCTTCTTCCAAGATTTTGGAAGACTTGAAGATGGTAGCATATTTAAATGTAAGATGCATGACATAGTACATGACTTTGTCCTGTTTTTGGCAGAAAGTGATTTTGTAACAAAGAAGGTTGCTTATGGTGAAAACTCAACCGTGGAGTTACAGTCCGAAGCTTGCCATTTGACAGTAATGCTGGCAGAACGAACTTCTTTTCCTGCCTCAATTCATGGCACAGAAAAGCTGCGGAGTGTGGTAACCTTTTGTGGACGGAAAGCAATAAGTAATGTAGCATTGTGCAACTTATTTAAACAGTCAAAACGTCTGCGTTTGCTCGAATTTGGTTGGCCTGATGGGCTCAATCATTTCGAAAATGGAATTCCTGATGAAATAGGGCAGTTGATGCATTTGAGGCACCTTAACCTCTCTTTCACTGTGAATATGAAAAAGTTGCCTGAAGGAATCTGTGAATTATGCAATCTGCTATCTTTGGATCTAAAAGGTTGCAGTGGTCTTCAGGAACTACCTGATGGAATTGGGAAATTGATCAACTTGAGGTTTTTCCGTGCTGCAGGTTGCTTTGATCTCACTTGGTACCCAAAATCAATGGGAAGATTAACTTCTCTCAGGGAGTTGATTGAAACTAACATCAGGGTTGATCACAATGATCCTAAAGAATTTTGTATTGGTGATCTGGAAAATTTGTGCCACCTTCGTCGGCTCTGGGTGAAGTTGGTTGGAAATTCCATAGATGCAGATGAGGCTAGGAGAGCTAGACTTCATGATAAGATCCATTTGCACGAGATGAAGATTGATTTGGATCACAACATGGACGAAGGTTATGCAGTTGAAACCTTGAACCCACCTTCCAACTTAAATGTTCAGTTTTGGACTAGCTGCACCGATTGGTATTACTAGCTAGTCCAGGAAGGAATGTGAATTTTATAAAGCAACAAGGATACGCTTACATTGATCATGATGAATAATGGGAATAGTCTTTCACGGTGTGTAATTGTTGCTTATTCTCTTTACTTTGTGTTGGTCCACGTTTTTATTCTGTTTGTTTTCCTGTTGGTTTTATGTACTGTTTGCCTTTTTTTCTTGTTGGTCCATATTTGGATTCAATCTTGTAGGGTTGATTCTGCTTGGTGTTTGCTGGATGACTTGACAAAAGCCTTGTTGCCTTCTCCATTGAAGTGATCGTATATTTGCTATTTGAATGAACTGATTTTTTTTTTTTTTTTATACCAAAAAACAAATATTTGCATGCACTAATTTATGCTCTGAGGCAAATGTATTGTTCATGAATTGTGCAAATTAAAGACGCTATTATTAACTCTTTGACCATGTTCTATAGGTTACTTAGACCAAATTGGGTATAACATCAACCTACAACAACCTGGTTTTCTAACAGTGTTGTTAATGCCACAACATTCATTCCGATCCAGATTGTTATGGGTCAGTATCATATTCTTCCTGTTTAATTTGGACCGCTATTTTAGCCATTCAAGCAAAGTTTTGGATGAATTGTAATCTAAGATTTACTTTTGCTTCTCTAACTTCTTGGTCCCTTGTTCAATTGTCTTCCTAACAATTACACACTGTTATGACCCTGCCTCCGCGTTGTACAGTTTTCCCCTGCTTTTGAACTCAAATGCTCCATTTTTTTTATTAAAAAAAAAAAACTCTCTTTCATGAAATTAGCTTCATTGCGGAATTTTTTTCATGTGAAAGCTTCGTTACAAAATGTTGGATGGGAAAAATCCATGTCAAAGAATTTGAAACCCTACGTGATATTGGTATAACTATCAAGTTCAAATCAAATCACATTCTATTAAGCTCGTTTATTATCTTACCTGACAAAAATTAAACTTCATAACCAAATGGATCATGTCTACATTTGATGAGGTCATATTACATGAGAAAATCTCATCAAAGCAATTGCAATTGATTTATAGATTCCATGCTGCAAATTTATTTCCCTGCAATAATCAAGGTCTGCTACAAAATGCTAACACTTTGGGCCAAAAATGTGAATTGAAATATTTTTTAAAAGATTTGTTTTTTCAAAATAATCATAAATTTTCATAGTTAAAATTGTATTTTAGTCTCTCTATTTTAATAAAAAAAATCTTCTTTTAATCATTTTACTTTAAAAAGTCTCTTATTAGTTTTTAAAATTTATTATCAAACTCCTCTTTAATGTTTTCAATATCTTTTTACATACATTACATATGAGATGATAAAAATTTTAAAGTACAAAAAAATTAAAAAAAAAAACTCTTTTTTTATTCCTTTACTTAAAAAACCTTTTTAATTTCTCTATTTTAAAGTTTATATTATTCAATGTGCCAAGTATCTAAAAATATTAAAGGGACAAAAAGAATTAAATAATAAACTTTAAAAATTAAAAATAAAATTTCTTAAGTAAAGAAATTTTTTATTAAAATAAAAAGAATCAAATAGAATTGTAACTAATTTTTTTATTTTAAAAATATTTTAAATAATAAAAATTAAAAATTCAAAGTTAAAAAATTAAAAATACATAATCTCATAGGGGTGGAGAAAGACTCATTAGTCATTATCCTCCGATTTAAACAAAAAAAGAAAAAGAAAAATCATGAGTCTTCAAAAGTCTTCTCTACATCTAACCAGGCTCCAACGCCATCGGCAACACACAGTCACCAGGAAAAAGGCAACTGGGGAACTGGTCACATCCTGTTGCTTATGAGACACATTTCTGATTTTTTTTAAAACGAGTAAAATTTAAGAAATAAGAGAGGAAAATGAAGGAAGAAAATAAAATGAAGAGTCTTTACATTTTGATTAAGTGACAAACATTTTCAGACATATCTCTGAAGTTGGTTTAAATGTTTCACGAACATTTAACTAGTAATTACTGCCTACTTTTGTACCTTTAGTATGATCTTTTTTTTTTTTTTTCATCGGAAGCCACCGGATATTCTTTGGCAATTGGTGGTGTACTTCAGACTTTAGAGATCTAAATTTGTAGAAGTTATTGATACAAATCCGGGTATGCTCATTTGCTAGAGGTAGGTTCAAAGAAAATAAAAATTACGGCTACACCGTTTAAATTTTGGAAATGCGAAGATTTAATATCTCACTTTATAAAAAGTTTTTTTATAAATTAATGAAT